TCGCTCAATTCGTGTCTTTTCATCTAGGACACTCTCGTCCATAGATGAACTACTGAGAACTCTCTCGTTCTCAGTAAACACTGTTGCTGACCTTATGTCGGTTACATACTCGTCGTCAGCGACGAGTATGCAGATCTGCTTGACTTTGCCACTACGCAGATCACGCAAGAACCTTTTATGTTCGAGCGTTGGCAACTGAGTGATCTCCGAAGTTAACTTCGGAGGCGCAATCAGATCAAGTGTATAAGCGCCTACACATGATCCGTTATTGACTATGACATTCAATGTCTCTGTCATTTCCTGGGGACTTATTCCCTCAGGCTTCGAAGGACTTATTCCTTCGTCTTCCCGGGGACTTATTCCCGCGGGTTTCGGGGAACTTATTTCCGCCGTATTTGTTATCTTGGGACTTATTCCCTTTACTTCCTCTAGCTGGGGTTGCGCAACCACAGCGAGATCCTCTACGAAAGACTCTCCAGTCGATCTAGGATTATCGTTTCGCTTAACCTGAGCGATCGATTGTTTCTCTTCTAGATGTTCCCCTCTAGGGATACATCTTTGTCCCAGTCCACCCGACTTATTCGAGTGGTGGACCTTCGGCGCAGCCTGTGTTTCCTCACAGCCGCCGGAACTTTGCTCCGAAGTGTAACCGTTTGGTACACTAAGGTTTTGTGCAGTCGTACTAACGACCGTACCACAAGTGAGGCCATCGCACTCACTCGTGGTACATCCACACGCTTGTGGACGCTCCAAAACGTTCATCAGATGGCCATCTGATGAACAAGCGGCAGGCATCGTTACTGTCCGATGTTGCCAGTTTACCCGTGGTTCGTACCTTCTGAGCCACGGTATTCCAAGGATGACATCAAATTTGTCATCCAAATCCAATACGATAAAGTCATCGTCGTATTGGGTATCTTCTAGCGTATAGTGAATCTTCACTATGCGCTTCATGACGGTTACGGATGCGCCTGTCGCAAGACGTACCGTCATCCTCGTAGGAGGTGTGTCACATTCACTGAATTTAAAGTGACCATCTTCTAGCGATTGGCGTCGCACAAAATTGTTGGACGCCCCACAATCGACTAGAGCTCGAAGGGACAACTTATTCGTCACTTCGAGTTTCAAGGTAATGAGTGAGATCTCATTACCTAGAGCAGCAACGCACAATGTCTGTGTGTTGGGAGCAACCTTCATCAAGAGGCCTACAAATTCTCTTGACGTTGCTGGATCAGTAGGGTGCTCCGCACCTACTGATCCTGTCCGTTTTTTGACGGTCCATCCCGTTGTTGCGTCTTTGCACCAACTGCGGACCCTCGTCCCTGCCCCTTTCTCATGGGTGGACGGTCACTACGCCCAGTGTCGCGAGACACTGGACGAGGGGCACTACACTCGTAAGCGTAGTGTCCTGTCTTTTGACATCTGTTGCATCTCTGCAACTTCTTGTAGCCTGTAGAGCGAGCCTTCTCGCTCTCTACATAACAGAGTTCCATCGGCTCTGGACCTCCGTTGTCATATCGTCTCGGTTGACGATATGATGTCGAGCTGGCGCGAGCCTGTCTCAGACTGAAGTCTTCCTGCTCCGCAATGGAAATGGCTTGTTCTAGTGAATCTAGTTCAAGCCGGAACAGGTGAGTCTTGACGGGACCATCCGCAAGACCCTGCATGAACACCGAAACCAACGTGTGTTCATCCACTGGATTGGAACTTATACAACTCGTAAGATGTCGTATATGTTGAGCGTAAGCGTGCACATCACGCTTACCCTGCTTGAGCTTCAAGAGTTCGGTTCGAGCTCTGAACTCAGCTCTAGGCGGTTCAAACGTTTGTCTGAGCCGCGACTTGAAGACTTCCAACGACCCAAACGCATATGGGTCGTGCAGCTTGAGCCCCAGTGCCCAAGTCTTGGCACGTCCTGCCAGATTTGACTGGGCAAATGCAACTTGCATATCCCCGTCGTCGATGCGACGCGCCCTTATGGCGTCATCCAATTCGACGAACCATCTCAAGAGGGAGTCTTCTTCGACCCCCCTATACTTTGAGATGTCAATCTTCAAGGTCTCGGGTCGACGCGAGTGCATCGACCCGCCAGCAGCAGCTTGCTGCTGTCTCAACAGTTCAAACTGTTGAGCACCTTGTTCTCTCAACAACTCTGCTTGTTGAGAACCTTGTTGGTGAAGCAAGGCTACTTTCTCGCGTTCTGCGTCAAGTTCATTTTGAATGAACTTGGCGATAGTAGCATGTTGGGCATCTCTATTGAGAGCCTCTAGCATGACGCTAACAGCATGGATGCCCATGGTCGAACCCATTCGTTCAACCGCATCCCATTCGACATCGCTCAAATGGGAGTAGCCGTCACGCGTAGCGTGAAAGCTTTGGTCATCTTCATCATCCAACATATTCATGTTGGATGTGAACGCGGTCCTTGGACGGACTACGAAGTGCTACCAGGTGTAACGGGGCACCCTGAAGCTTGTACTGGTGACAGTACAAGCTACTTATTCTGATAACAGAATAAGGCGGTGCCTCGTAACTTCACGTACACTCGTACGTGCAGAGGAAGACGGTAAGAAGAAGCGAGTACTCGGTTAGAGTAAAAGTAGAACTGTATTTATAATAGTTAATGTCTGCAATAAATCACTATTTATCTTCATCTAACTATGTCTAAATACAAATGTGTAAATCAGTTATCTGCTCACCACTCATTGCGTGCGTCTGTCGTGGCGCGTCTTCGTTGGTTGATATAATGGCCTATATCAACCAATTAGGAACTACTTGGAAGTGCTACAGAATATTGTCCTTATGACAATATTCTGAGAATATAACTCTTATAGTTATATTCTATTAACAATTTCTTATAAATTGTTATGTAACGATTCACCCCGTTACAGTTGAGCCTAACTAAGGATCAAAATAAATTGAACAAAGGCGACCGCAACTACACCAGTCACGTTCAGCCAAATTTATACTTATTCTATCTTTTCGTGCCGGCTGCTGTGAGTTTTGTCAGCGCATGAATTTTGAGAAGAAGTTGTACTAGTCTCTGATTGGTGCACAAAGAGTTAAGTCATACTTTCTGCTGGAGACACGCTTAAAATATGTTCTGACATTCCGAATCCGCTCACTGTTTTGAAACGCGAGCGCACAGTACGGGTTGCTCATCTACTGGTCGGACACGACGATAAGGGGGCGATGAGCAATGATACACACGAGTTAAGTAGTAATTAATATGTTAAGAAGCTTGTTGTAGTTTGTACATACTGCAAGAATGAAGATGGAGGACCAGATACCGCCAAGCCATTATCTTGATAATCAAGTAGCTCTCCTTGATCACCATTTGCAGCCTTATGAGCATGCAATCTCTAGTGGAAAACACAGTGATCATTGGATAATGAAAGTTAGTGGTGCATTGGCCTGCAGAATACGACGTTTTGCCATCTCGCTAAATGCAATTGACAACAACTCGAATCCATCACTTCCGTACGTAGCATATTCTTTTTAGCGACTTCCTGCCATTACAAGATCGATAGGATCGTAATTTAATCCATACTTCAATTATAGAAGTGGCCCTATGATTCATCGGGGCTCGTCAGAGCACCCTCCGGGAACGTTAAGGCATCAGTTGCTGCGATTCGTGAGGTTCGATACGACAGCGTTATACATGTTGTAAACGGTAGTGGCACAGAGACGTAAAGCCTACGTTGGGCTTACCGAGTACGTCAACGGGTTGAACAAAACAGACTTTATCGAGAAAGGACGAACCGACACGAATATTTAAGATGTTACCAACGTAGAAACTGCCGGTACGCCCGACGAGCATCGCTGCTATGTGCACGACACAGAGCAACACTGACTTGATGTTGGCACGCAGTCCAACTGAGCGTCCAAGGAACCTCGGAGAGCCGGTGTCGACTTCCGGTGAAAAAGGTTGCAATGGGTGGCACGATCCCGTCAGTTGCTCGGTTAAAGCATGGACAGGCAGTAGAAGTGGCGCTGGATGTTACACCAATTAGATTCTCGCTGATTCAGAAACGCTGTCCATCCAAAAATCGATCATCATCGTATGTGTAAAGGAGCTACACAGTTCTTTAATTCAGAGGAAGACTTGACGCTCAACAAGCAACTTGGTTCTAAAGAACTAGAATCAATGAGTCAACAAGCTTAAATTTATGGTCCTTGCTCCAGGGGAACAAATAATTCAGTGAAACGACAGCACTTAGTGCTCATGTAACGGGGTTGCACGATATCATGGTACTTTGTACCAGAGGTGTTACACAACTGAGGGTTCGCTTCTGTGAAGGTGATATAGAATATCTTATCGGTTTGTAGGGGCTGACGAGTGTTAGCCATTGGATACGAAAGATCTTTGAGTAGGATTAAGATATTCTATAGGCTTTAACAAAAATAAAATCAGTTCCCATTTTGTAACGGGGCACCCTGAAGCTTGTACTGGTGACAATACAAGCTACTTATTTTGATGACAGAATAAGGCGGTGCCTCGTAACTTCACGTACACTCGTACGTGCAGAGGAAGACGGTAAGAAGAAGCGAGTACTTTGTTAGAGTAAAAAGTAGAACTGTATTTATAATAGTTAATGTCTGCAAAAAATCACTATTTATCATCATCTAACTATGTCTGAATACAAATGTGTAAATCAGTTATCTGCTCACCACTCATTGCGTGCGTCTGTCGTGGCGCGTCTTCGTTGGTTGATATAATGGCCTATATCAACCAATCAGGAACTACTCGTAAGTGCTGCAGAATATTTGTCCTTATGACAATATTCTGAGAATATAACTCTTATAGTTATATTCTATTAACAATTTCTTATAAATTGTTATGTAACGATTCACCCCGTTACATCACCCCCCCCTTAACCATCAGTCACTAAAGTGACCGATTGACTGATTGGATACTCGTCCCAAATCATTTGGGACAGGGTTTGCACTTGTTGGTCCGCGTCCACTTTCCAACATTTCATCGCATGGTAAACAAGCCCATGCGATGCGCGAGCAAGGCCGCCGAGAGCGCGTCTGCACGTCTCTGTGCGGACGCCGAAGCAGAAACAACAGCAACTGATGTCTCATCGGTTGCTGAAGCGACCCAGCCTGTGTCACTTGGTGATGCAGGCGCTGGTCATGAAGACACTCGTGTCTTCACAGAGTACGAGCTCGGTTTCTCGTACTCTCCTGATACGGATGACGGATCCGTATCGACGGCGATTGAATCTAAGCCGCCTGCCAAGCGTGGCATGGACGATGCTTTGCGTCGCAGCATCTTTGGTTCATCTGATTCATCAGATGAACCATCGCCGAAGCGAAGGCGCTCGAGGTCGCGAGACTCGGGCGCTAACAGTGGTGTCGGTTTTCCTATTGACACCACTTCACAGCGAGGTGCCAGTACTTCTGTCGGCACGTCGCAGGAAGAGCGGGACCGCAATGTATTGCGTCTCGCTCCAGAAAAGAAGGCATGGATGCCTCCAAAATCCGTCATGGATCACTTGTCGGCGACGACGAGTGATCGTTATCGAACACGATTGTTCGATTCGTCAAGGATCCATCACCTTGACCCCAGCGCGAAAAACTATCGCGCTGAACATGAATTCTTCATCGATGCTTTCTTTAGACATCGATGGTACAGTGGGAATCACAAGCGTGATGGTCCCTCACTGCTTCAAGCGTGGAACGCCTACATCCATAACCTTGAGGATGTAGGTCGTGACGCTTGAAACGACAAACTTATCAAAGCTCGTGATAAGTTTGAAAAGCGAACCCCGACTGGGGCACGCTACAATCTGCATCGTCTGTCTAAGGAGGGTGGGTTACCCTGCCTCTCTTGGGGAGACTCGTGCCCATGTTGTGTGAACAACTCTGCACGAGCACCTAAGGAGGATTACCTCCTTACCAGCCCGTGGTGGCGCGTACGTATCTCTGCTGAGATGTAAGAAGGGATTGACAACCTGAAATCCCTTTACGACCGTGCCGGGAAGACTTTCTCCGGCGGTCCTTCTGCGGCACAGGATGTGCCGCGTCGTACTACTCAACCAGACCCAGTACGTCGATCATCAGTTGGGAGCGGGGCTCCCAAGAATCCCAGGACGGGGGATAGCCGCGCCACCGGACGAGATAACTCGTCCGACGTCCGTTCACGTCGCGGTAATTCAACAGCTGCTCAACTAGATAGCGCTGGCCACCGCGAGAGTCCTCTAATGGAGGTGGAGGAGGAGGAAAGACGCTCTCCACACGATCATGTGGATCCGTGTGTTCCCGAGAGCTTCTTTGATCGCGTAACGCAAGGGTTACGCGACGATCTCGAACATGAGCGGAATAGACGTCTCCAAATGGCGGACACTGCCTCGAAGCATCGAGCTGAGTTTGCCTTTGCTCAGCTTGAGAACGAGAGATCTCTGACATCTCTTCGTGACGAGCTAAGGGTACCTCGTGGGATTGCTGATCGGTCTCGGGCTGAGATAGCTGCTCTTCAGACCCTTGTTGATGCCCACCATCGGGAGCACAAGGCTCTTTGCGAGATGCTTGAGCGCAAGGGCGTTCTTCATCGGAAGAAGCAGCGTACTGATGGTACGGCTTAAGCCGACCAACGTAAAACGTGGGATGCGTTCGCATCTTACGTGGCAACTCGATCGTGTGTGCATTGCCTAGGCGGTGCAATACACGAAATGGGCCGATGTACTTGGGTAGTAGTTTACTGCTACCCAAGTTAGTCACTACATGTTTTGGTAGATTAACCGTAGACAGTAGGACTAAGTCACCTTTATTAAATAAAAGAGTGTTTGCCCTTCCATTCTTGTCAGCGTTTTGCTTTTGCTTATCCATCGCTTCGGCGATGGAGTCTTGCACAAAACGGACTACCGTTTCACGAGCCAGTATGAACTCATCTGATGACTCGTTAGCTTCAGTGCGCTGTGAGCGCACTGCAGCAACATCAACCTTTTCTTCAGTGAGGGCTTCCGCACTCTCACTGGCATCATCTTCTTCGATATCGATGTTATCGATATCGGCATCAAACGCAATGACCTCTTCGTCAGAGCGTGATGAGCGTGAAACAAATCGGTTTTTGCTCGCGCGAGTCCCTCCCCCCTTAAACCAGAGTTACACTCTAGTAAGGTGGGTACACGCGGATGGCGCAAGCCATTCACGTAAAACGGTGTATGTGTCGTGGACGCATACACCGAGTTGCTAATGGCAAACTCTACCATTGGCAAAACTCACTCCAACTCTTAAAGGAGTGTACGTATCCTCGAAGTATCTCTTCAAGGACACGATTGGCACGTTCCGTCTGACCATCTGAATCTGGATGATCAGATGTCGACATCTTCTAGCGCGTTCCGAGTGATTTGAACACGGAACGCCAGAAATCAGCAGTGAATCGTGGATCTCTGTCTGATACGAGTTCACGGGGCAACCCATGAAGTCGGAAGATGGTGTCGATAAAGACACAAGCACAGCCACTTGCTGTGATTGACTCTGGTACAGCCACAAGGTGTACCATTTTGCTGAATCTGTCAACAAATACTAGAATACCCGTATTCCCGCGTGCGTCTTTGGGTAACCCGAAAACGAAATCCATTGAGTTGGATTCCCAGCACTCAGCCGGAACCGGTAGAGGCTGTAAAGGTGCACGCAGTGAAGGACTTGACTTCACTCGTTGGCAGACTTCGCATGCGCGAACCTACTTTCGCACAAACTGATACTGGCGGGGCCAGTAAAAGTCTCGACTCACCGTGAGATATGTTTTCTCCAGGCCACGATGTCCTCCTATAGGAGCATCGTGATACTCGAACATGATCCGCAAACGCAGATTAGTATCATCTGGAATGACAACACGTGGTGTGTCACCAGAAACGGCTGTATAATACAGTAAACCATTACGAGTAGTGTATCGATCTGATGCAGATCGATACGCAGACGATAATTGATTCAACGATTCTCGGGATGGTTGGGAGAGATGTGTCAACAACTTCACTATCTCACCATCTTGGGCGTATGCCCGCCTCACATCATCATACAACGTTGTAGATGGGACTGAGGACGTCATAACCGCAACAGTGACTGTCTCACTGTTGGGTTTCGCGACTGTTTCAAAGTCGGGACGACGTGAGAGTGCATCAGCGACGACATTAAGTCGTCCTGGTTTGTACTCGACCATAAAGTTGTATTCCGCAAAGAATGACAACCACCGCGCCATTCGTTGTGAAAGGTGCGGGCTGTTCACTGCCGTGCGTAATGACGCATGGTCAGTGTAAACAACGAAGGGTCTATCTCCTAATAGATAGACTCTGAACTTCGCGAGTGCATACTTCATGGCAAGGAGTTCCTTGTCATGCACTGGATAGTTCCGCTCAGCTGGTTGCAGCTGACGCGACTGATAGCAGACGACGCGTTCAACGCCTTCAAGATCGTACTGCATTAATGCACAGCCGATTGCGAAATCGCTGGCATCACAGACCACATGAAATGGCCTGTCCTGATCGGCTATTGCTAGGACTGGGGATTGTATCAAGCTCTGCTTGATACCCTCAAAGGAGCGCTGACATTCAGCGTTCCATAACCACCTCTCGTTCTTTTTCAACAAACGAGAGAGGTGCACAGTCATCTCGGCGTAATTGCGTGAATACTTATGCAAATACGCCGCTAGCCCAAGGAATTTTCGAAGACCTTTGACATCGACCGGCACAGGCCAGTCGGTGATCGCCTTGATCTTTTCGGGATCAGGACGTACACCGTTCTTACCAAAGATGCACCCAAGAAGTGGTATTTCGCTTGCTGCAAATATACACTTCTTGAGGTTAGCATACAATTGATGCTTTCGCATGATTGTAAGAACTTGTCGGACGTGGTATCTGTGAACCTCAACGTCCGACTTTTCATCCATAGCTCGACTATGGATGAATACGTCATCGAAATAACTCGGCGCAAATTCTCGTACTGGTCTCAACAGATGTGATACACATCTGTTGATCGTGGCAGGGGCATTACTGAGCCCTTGTGGCATTACTAGCCATTCCCAGAGCATGCCGCTAGGCGTGCTAACTGCGGTATAGGGTATATCCCGTTCCCGCATAAGGATTTGATAGAATCCATCCATCAAATCCATGGACGAAAAGATGGTACTCTTTGACATACCATCACTGATTACGTCCTTCCTTGGTATCGGCGTCTGAGCCGGTACCGTTGCAGCGTTCAATTTGTTGAACGCGTGCACTATCCGCCACCCTCCTGTTGCTTTTCGCACACAGAAGGTCGGAGAGCTATGTGGGGAAGTCGATTCCCTCACATGGCCCGCAGCTAAAAGATCGGCAAAGAACTTGTCGACCGCAAGTAGGCACTTAGTGCACGAAGTGGATCTTCGATCCTTAAAGATCCTTTGGATCCGTTCTATCCTTTAGTCAAGGAATTTCAAGATGTGGTGTGTCACAACCCACCTTCTGCCTTACCTCCCGATAGAGGTGTAAGTCATGAGATTGACTTGGTTCCTGGAACTAAATACTGTGTAACACGGCAGTGGCCTTTGCCTAAAGAACAGTGCGACGTCATTGACGATTTCTTTCGTGCTAAGCACGCGGCTGGAATGGTTTGTGAGAGTAAATCTCCCCATTCAACACCGACATTTTGTGTCAGAAAGCCAAATGGCAAGTGGCGTATTGTGCATGCTTACAATAAGCTTAATGCAGCCACTATACCGGCGCAGACGCCTATTCCTAGAAAGAATGTTCTTCAGAACAATATGGCGGGATGTACACTGTACAGTGCACTCGACTTAGTCGATGGTTATTACCAACTGCTCATGCGAGCAAGCGATATTCCGCTAACAGCGGTGAGTACTCCGAGCGGTATGCTCTAGGAGTGGCTCATTATGCCACAAGGGCTATCTAACGCCCCGGCTACATTTAACTGGTTGGTAACGCAACTATTCAGACCTCATCGAGGCTATGCACAAACGTACTTTGATGACATTTTTGTCCATAGTCGTGCAATGAATGGGCGATCAGATGTGGATAATCACATCGATCATTTACGAGCTGTGCTCGAGTGCATGCGAACGAATAAGTTGTATGCTAACGCATCGAAGTGCATCTTTGGTGCAGAAGAGATTCCCTTTCTAGGGTGCTTTATTGGGAAGCGAGGCCTTCGAGCGGATCCCGCTAAGGTAAAAGCCGTAGTCGATTGGCCAGTCCCCAAGAACAAAAAGGACATGCGTAAGTGGCTTGGCCTTGCCAATTACTTACATAAGTACAGTGCAAATTACGCAGATATGGCTCGGCCATTGTCCAATCTCCTTAAAAAGGATGTGGGTTGGTGTTGGGGTAACACCGAACATAATGCTTTTGAAGCAGTTAAGGAGAGTCTCCTTCATGCGCCAATATTGGCTTTGCCCGATTCTGGTCGGCCTTTCAGTGTCGTCTGTGACGCATCTGACTTTGCCATAGGCAGTGCTCTGTTACAAACAGATGTCGACGGACGCGAACGCGTCATCGCATTGAATCTCGACAGCTGAAAGCTGCTGAAAAGAACTATCCTGTTCATGAAAAAGAGCTACTCGCTATGAAGTACGCTCTTGTCAAATTCAGAGTCCATCTGCTTGGCTCGAAGCCATTTGTGATCTATACCGATCATGCGTCATTGCGCACTGCGACACAGTCGCCTCATCTCTCACAGAGAATGGCTCGTTGGATTTCATTCTTTGCCGAATAGAACTTCGAGGTGAAGT